ACGCTCCTATTTGCACACTACAGTACCAGCTCCGTTGACGGACGACGGGGTAGCGGTTGTCGATCTCCACTCCTATCTTGCGAAGATTGACCGCGAGTACGCCACCCAAAGGTACGCCGAAACCGACGCACCTTTGCTCTATATCCGCATTCAAATCGGAAAGGCAACCTGTAGTGCCTTGATTGATTGCAGAGCGTCTCGCAACTTTATGAGCCAAGCCTTTATGGCCCGCGCAGGTCTTGGCCCGCGCGTTCGAAGGAAGACGCAACCTACGCAAGTTACACTTGCGGACGGCCGCACGCAAAAGTCAATTAACCGATGCGTTGACGACGTTCCGGTCTACTTTGCGGCACTTGCGTGCGAGCCAGTGTCTTTTGACATCCTCGACACCAAGTTCGACATGATTCTAGGCATGTCTTGGTTGAGTAGCGCCGATCATCCGGTGAACTTCCATGACCGAACCGTTCACATCCGTGATCGGAACGGAGTGTTAGTCCCATGTACCGTCGCGACCCCTCACACTTCGATTGCTTGTCACGTGGTTTCCGTTGCGAGAATTCGCGACGCCATTGCTCGGAATGACGTCGAGGAGATGGGCCTTGTATTCTTGCATGCTCTCCCCTCGCCGGACGGACCAGCCGCGTCACCGCCGGACCCACACATTTCTCACCTCTTGGACGAGTATAGAGACGTCTTTGAGGCCCCCACCGGAACGGTTCCGGATCGGCCCATACGTCACGGGATCACTCTCGAAGCTGGCGCCATCCCTCCGCGTGGATGTATCTACCGCATGAGCGAAGAGGAACTCGAGGTGCTTCGCGCACAACTCGATGATCTTCTCGACAAGGGCTGGATTCGCCCTAGTTGCTCGCCATACGGTGCACCTGTTCTCTTCGTCCGGAAGAARAACAAAGATCTACGGTTATGCATCGACTATCGGAAACTTAACGCACAAACCGTAAAGAACGCCGACCCTCTCCCTCGGATTGATGATCTCCTTGAGCGGTTAGGCGGCGCGACGTACTTCTCGAAGTTGGATTTGAAGTCAGGTTACCTTCAGATTGAAATCCAACCTCAAGACCGGTACAAGACCGCGTTCAAGACGCGGTATGGGCATTTTGAGTGGGTTGTCACGCCATTTGGCCTCACCAATGCCCCCGCTACGTTTCAAGCAGCAATGACGACTGAGTTTCGCGACTTGCTTGATCGCAGCGTCCTTATTTACCTTGATGATATTTTGGTCTACAGCAGGACGTTGGACGAGCATATCATACACCTTCGCGTTGTCTTGAATCGTTTGCGACTAGCCAAGTACAAAGCGAATCTCGACAAATGCGAATTCGCCAAGCAAGAGCTTGAGTACTCGGGCCATTTTGTCACGCCRAAAGGCATTCGTCCCTTAGCGGACAAGATCCAAGCCATCGTGGATTGGCCGGAACCCCGTTGCACGACGGATGTACGCTCTTTCATGGG